AAGTCAAAAACGGATAAATCCAAGAAAAGTCTTTTTAAGGCCAAGAAGGACACGGATCCCCCGAGCGTCCCCCTAGCGAACTACTGGTGTAGGGTGCCGTGGCTCAAGGAGGTGAACCTTTCCATCTTCTACCCAGGTGTTGAGGAGTGCTTGTGCCTCGTCCACCGAGACAGGTAGCGGCTAGGGAACTTGATTAAACTCTCTTTTTTGCTTGCGGGTCTCCTTTTCCTCTAGAGGAGCCTTCGATTGCATATACAGCGTGGTTGCGTCGGTTAGGCCTCCATGATGAAGGTTGAGGTGTCGTTGGCCGCCATGAGTGAGGTTATGATGCTATCATTCGTGCCCCTAATCTTACTGTTTCACTTATGTTTCGGGCTACGGCACGTAGAGCGGAAAAGTCAAGGAAATGGTGGTAGACCAACTGAAGTTTATAAGTTGTGAGCATCCCTTCAATACACATTGACACCAATTGATGCTTTTCCATCGGGCCTTGAATGTCTACTGCTTTTTCCCTGAAGCGGCGGACATAAGCGAGGATGTCCTCCCCAAGTCATTGTGTTTCCCTCATAAGATGAAGGGTGGTTAACCTTTCTTCAATGTAGAAGAACTTGATATAAAACTTTTACCAAGTCCGCCCATGAAGAGAGAGAGAGCCAGCGGCGAGGTTGGCATACCACAAGCATGGTCAATCTGTAAGGGATTTGGAGAATTCTCTCATGTGGAGGTTTCGGTCTTCTCGGTGAGCTCCAAGAGTGTCAAGAAAGCGTGAAACATGCTCCCTAGCATTCCCTTTTTGTCCGTCGAAAACGACAAACTTGGGTACGGTGTATCCTACTGAACATGTGAGACTTGCAATGTGAATAGGGTAAGGGGGACGGAGGTCCAATTTTGGAGAGGCAGGAATGTGACATTTGTACATCTAAAGTAGGCTATGTATGTGCTCTTTTACTACATCCAATGTTAATGGTTGGGAAGTTGTCTGATCCGGCGGAAAAGCTAGAGAGCCAGTCGAAGCCACTATAGTGGGAGCTCCGCTAATGGATCTGACTTGTGGTGGAGGTATTTGGCTCGGAGCTAATGGAGGGAGCGGGCAACTACTTGTCCTCCCGCTTGGGTTTGCAACTTGTTTTGTGGAGCAAGGTAGGCTTCTAAGCCATTTTGGGCTAATAGTGGAACGCCATTTTATAATGATGAAAGGGGATTAGATGATGATGGAAGTGTAGGTGCCTTTTGTAAGGCTAGTAGGGTATCCATTAAGAGTTGTTGCTTCTGTTGAAGGGAGGCGACGCTCTCAGTCAATACACGTAGCTAATCTGCTATGGCTGATTGAGAGGATTGTTCTTCCGGAAAGCCGCCAGAGTTGTGTTCCAAGGTCTCTACCAGAGTCTCCCTACTGCCACCTTGGGATGTTGCTGCTCCAGTTCCAGTGTTCTTTTTGGGTGCCATGTGAAGTGAGCACCACTCTTCCCCAACAGAGTATAATGTGGGTGAGAGGTGTGGTTAGAGGTGGTATGGGAAGATGGCGGGGACTCCAATGGCCTGAGATCACTGAAGGTGGAGAGGAGGAGGTCAAAGCAAGCTTGGAGAGGGAGAGGCTGACAGTAATGGACCTTGAACACTAATGTAGAATGTGAGAAGGAATGTTTAAGTGTGAGAGTTAGTGTGTTAGAATTATGAAGTTGTGTTGTTGTTTTGCTGCACATATGATACGTTATATAGGCCACAGGAGTATTGGAGCCTAAGCAAACTGTTGAACAAGTGGTTTGTTCTCCTCAACTCTGCCAGAAGTGATATAAGCCCTTCTGCCGTCTGTGGCTTAACGGCGGGCGAAGAGCAACGTTTCATGGTAAGCGGAAAGTAACGTTTCGTATATGCATCGGATGACATGAATGTAACGTCGTTATTGCCTCTTCCCCAAGCCTGGTCGAGATGGAGTTGTCTTAGCAAGAAGACAACCATCTCGACGATCCCATAACCTCAGTCGCCAGTCCAATATCCTCTAATGATCCTAAGCAGTAGTGCCTGGGTCCTGCTCCCAACCCAGGAATCCAAGTAGGTGAATGGGCCAGGGCCCACCTCAATGTTCAGGAAAGCCAGGGGCTCAATTCCAAGTGACCAAGTAGGAGAATGGGCCGTGGGCCTATCTCAATGTTTCCAAGTGACCAAGTAGGAGAATTGGCCGCAGGCCTATCTCAATGTTTAAAAGAGGGGCTCGCTTCCAAGCAACCAAGTACGAGAATGGGCCGTGGGCCTATCTCAGTGTTTATGAGAGCCAGTGTTTATCAGTCCAAATCCAAGTGAACCGAGGGCTGATTATATTGTTGATTGGTCTTGGAGTGAGGTATGAAGGACCATGGGCCCTACAGGGGCATGGTGCTGCCTGTTGCAGTGCTATTCATATTTAGATATATTTAGGCTTATATGTATGCTCCCGCTTAAGCTAATCATATAGTCTTGGTTTTGCGTGGTGCCTTAGCACACGGCGCCCGTAGGGCTCACCATGTATCAAACATAGGACATGCCCACGTGGTGCCTCATTGGTCTGCCACGTGGGTGGGGTTTTGGTGATGTGGCACCTGTAGGGCTTACCACGTATTAGGCTTGATACAAGTACCCACAACTTTTACCAAACTATTCCCATTAAGTTTCTCAACCATCCAACCAATTCTAATGACACTGATGAATGTTTATGCTTTAAACTATGCCATCAAAAAAATTCCATATCGATCTGATCTATCACATGAGATGCATCACATGACGTTATAGTGGGTTTGGGTAGACATTCATATGGCAGTAACTGTAAACAACCCAATTCCATCCAAGAGGAGCCAACCCTGTATTCTGTAGAGCTGAGCAAGAAATCCGTGAAATCTGTAATCCGATCCGATCCAGTTCAATCCGGTAAGTTTGGATTGATTTTTTGAATCCGTGGTTCGGTTCCGGATTAAAAAATTAAAAATCCGTAATCCACGGATCGATTCTGGATTGAACCCCACATTCGGATCGTATACAAATAACCTATATTTATATTATACACCCTCCCACATAATATCTTCTCTTATTCCATATAAAACCTAAATCCAAACCTAAACCCGCATGGTATCTTCTTTTATTGTTTTTGTTTGTTAGTTTTTAATTTTAATTTGTAATAATCTAAATACTTATGGTGGAATCAGTTTTCTTATGGTTGTTTAAATTCTATAACAGCATGTCGCTATTATGGAAATACATGTTGCTATTATGGAACTAATATGATATTATGTTTATGTTTTTATGAAATTAAAATGTTCTATATTTTTGTTTGTTATTTAATTATGTGAATTTGTGGTCATAAACCAATCCAATCCGTGTTTAAATGGATTGGTTCGGATTGGTTCGGATTGATTCTACGATTTAAACAGATTGGATTGGTTCTAATTTTTCAGGAACCGTAGATAACGGATTGGTCCTAGTTTTACCCCAATCTGAACCAATCCGGACCACGCTCACCTCTAGTATTCTCTCCCCTTTTAAGTTAAGGATGTGAACTAAGAAACGGGGGACCAAGCACCATAGCACCAAAACCTTAGTTTATTTACCAAATAAGAATGTATATCTGAAATGTGACACATGTTATGGTGATGCAATTAGGGCTAGCCCTGAGATTTAGGAGCCCTAGGCAAACAACAAAAACGAGGCCCTCTAACAATTTTTTTTATTTTTAGAAGAAAAAATTTAATGGATTAAACGATAAGTAACAACAATTTTTTTTTTATTTGTTAGTACTAGTAGCCAGAAAAAATTTACTTGTAGATATAATCATTAAAATTATAAACTAAAATTTATTTTTGCTTATAATTAAAATTATAAATCGTTGTTTGTTTCTTGCTACCAAAAAATTTATCAAGTGCTCGAGATTGAGATTGCATAATTTTTTTCTACTTTTTTGCTTCTTTTTTTCTTTTTCCACATCCGGAAATATACTTCCTAGGAGGCATGATTATATAATCAAAAATTCACACAAATCCAAAATCACTGATATCTGCAAATAATATGTTTTCAGAAATTAGAACATAACAAAAATTATAGATTTCCATTAAAGCACATAAATTAGAGACTTTTTCCTAATTCAACCAAACAAAAACAAAAAAGAAAAACAAAATCAAAAAATTTTATGTAATATTTGGTAGAGTTTTAGAATTATGATTTGAGAATAGAGTTATATTTTGAGTTTGTGAGTTTTGGAATTATAATATGAGTGGAAAATTTGTTTGGTTATAAGTTTTGAAGTGAGTTCGAAATTTTTGATATGATATATAATATTTGATTCAAAAACTTACAATTCATAACCAAACACACAATCCAAAATTCTATTCAAAACTTATAAAAAAAAATTTAGAAATTCTGAAAATATTTTTTATTTAAATTATAAAAATAACAGGTTCCAAAAAAAAAAAATTGAACACTGTTCCGGTCAACCATTCGGACGTTCGAGTTAGCCAAATTTTCCTGCCTGGAAAGGAATTTTCAAAAGTGGATGTGGAATTGTAATTTGAAAACCGCTAAACACCACACTCAAACAAAGGGCGTGGAATTATTGTTTTCTCTCCATATGTTCTTTTTCCATCTTCTCTCTTTTATTTTTCTTTAACAAAAACAATAATTTAAATTATTTGTTTGCAATTTATTAATCATTTTCCAAAAAACTGTGTGAACTGTGAATTCAAGACAAAGAATAGTAAATCTGTGCATTGACATGAACTAAATTGAAAATGTAGGCCCAAAAACTACGGCACACAAATTAGAGATTAGGGCTCACATTATTGTGGCAAAGAAAATTAATGAAGTGAACAAAAATTGGGGCAACGACTTCTTCCATTAAAATCTTAGGGCTCACATTATTGTGGCAAAGAAAATTAATGAAGTGAACAAAAATTGGGGCAACGACTTCTTCCATTAAAATCTGATATATATACATATATAACTATATATATATATATATAGAGAGAGAGAGGACTCACTCAGTGCCGGGTTCTGGACTCTTCTCGTTGTCCCGGGAGCCGGAGCCGGAGCCGGAGCCGGAGGGTTGCGATTGGGAGAGGAGTTTCTTTGTTCTCTCTGAAGGCTGATGAATTCAATTGATATAATTTTAGGGCTTTTTCAGTTTAGCAGGAAATTTTTATATTTAGAATTGGTTTAAAATATGTTTGGTAGGCCCTTTCATTTTCATTTTATATTTGTAAATTTTTTAAAAATTATCATAAAAACTTATTTGATAAATTTTTTAATTTATAAATGATTGTCTTAGATTGTAAATTGAAGAAAAACGTAAATTCAAAAAATGAGTTTACGTTAAATTTTAAACAGATATTCAAAAATTTGACTAATAAGTTTTTTTTTCAAATAATTTGTTTTTTAATTAATTTCTTTTCTAATTAATTTTTTTTTCTAATTATAATGTGTATGATCCCATTATCATAAATAATAAAAAATATATATAAATATTTTAGGCCTGATCAAACATATTTTTTAGTTTATATTTTTAAAATTTTTCAAATATTTTATTCAAACCAAACACGTTTATAATTTATGTTTTTCTAAAAATAAACATAAATCAATTTATAAAATTTTTACAAATATAAACAAAAAAATGTAAACGTTACCAAATGCTACTGAATTGTTTTGAAATTATATTTTTTTGTTATAATTTTTTATTTAATAGAATTAATAGGAAAAAAAATTATGAACTACTTTTTTATATTATCTATATGTTCGTTTTTGTTGCTTCAGAAAAAAGCTGGCTCAGTTTTTTGGGCAATTGTTGCATATGACAAGTGATAAAAAAGCTAGGCTGGCTAATTACGTAAATACCCTCTAGGTTAACAAATTGTGTAGAATTTTAAAGTTTGACAAGGGTATTTTGGTCATTTTAATTTGATTTGACATCATAAATAAATATTAAACTAAAAAGTAAAAAGTCAAATTTTTACCAACTTTCCAAATCACTTTCTAAAAAGCTAAAAAGTTTGATAAAAAGTCAAAAGCCAGCTTTTTACCAACTTCCCAAAACACCCCTCTATCTATTTATCTATATATTATATAAAGAAAAGAGAATTTCTAACTCACAAATCTTATAGGAATTTCAATATCTCAATCTTAATTTCCTAATTTTCTGATTTAAAAAAAAAAAAAAACTACCGCCCACCATTCAATTTTAACCTTTTTGAAATTTGAAAATCCTAAACCCTATTGTCGCAACCTTCTTGACATCTTCCATGCATATTGTCGCAACCTTTTCGACTTCTACTATACCGCAACACATCATATTACGCTAAAAAGGCAAAATTCTTCACTTATTTTTTATACTAAAAGGACAAACCAAGATAAGAAGAAAGTTTGGGAGAGAGAGTTGCACAGAATGCGAGAAAAAGTTTGACACATTCATAGTCACAACCTTCATTTCAGCGCAATCTTCAAAGTCTGTAAGTAATTTATTTATTTATTTATTAATGGTTCTTTTTTTCAATTTTTTTTTTATTATGAGCAAAAATGTAATTGTGATTTTTTTGCACTCCATTTTGATGACATGGTGATTGTATTTTTAAATTGATTCTGTTTTTTAACTCACTGTGTTTTTTGAAGAAAAAAAATGATTGTGTTTTTCAAAAATCAATTAAAAAAAATTGTAATTAATATCTATTTATCTATATATTATATAAGGGAAAAGGGTTTCTAACTCACAAATCTTATGGAAGCTCTAATATCTCAATCTTAGGGGTTGTTTGGGAAGTGCCAAATTAGTATACTTTTTGACTTTTATAAATAAATAAATAAAATGTGAAATATGGGTTGAGTTTGAAGTGATGTGGTAGAGAGATGATATGACTCAAATAAGAAGTGATGTAATCTAAATAAGATGATTGTGACTCAAATAAGATGATGTGCTAAAATAGCATATGCTATTTTGGCACGTGCTATTTTAACACGTGCCAAACAACTACTTAATTTCCTGATTTTTTTTTAAAAAAAAAAAAACTCCCGCCCACCATTCAATTTCAGCCTTTTCAAAATTTAAAAACCCTAAACCCTACTGTCATAGCCTCTTCCAATCTTAATTTCTTAATTTTCTGATTTAAAAAAAAATCTCCCACCCACCATTTAATTTCAGCCTTTTCAAAATTTAAAAACCCTACACCCTACTGTCGAAGAAGGCTTCTATCATACCTACCATCGTAGCCTTTTCGACTTTTGTCATACCACAACACATCATATTATGCTAAAAGACAAAATTCTTCACTTATTTTTTATACTGGAAGTACAAACCAAGATAAAGAAAAAGTTTGGGAGAGAGAGAGAGTTGGACAGAATTTGGAAAAAATGCTAACACCTTCACAGTCACAATCTTCAAAGTCTGTAAGTAATTTTTTCATTTATTTTTCAATGGTTCTTTTTTTCATTATTTTTTTTATTATGAGCAAAAACATGATTGTGTTTTTTTACACTCCGTTTTAATGATATGGCGATTGTATTTTTAAACTTATTGGATTAAAAACTCACTGTGTTTTTTGTAAAAAAAAATGATTGTATTTTTTAAATTTCAATTAAAAAATTTTGTAATTAATATTGTGATTGTTTACACCCCGTTTTAATGATACGGTGATTGCATTTTTAAACTGATTGGATTTTGTTAACTCACTATGTTTTTTTTTTTTAAATGATTGTATTTTTTAAATATCAATTAAAAAAAGTTGGATAGAATCTTGGGACAAATGTTGATACCTTCATAGTCACAATTTTCATTCCAACACAGTCTTCAAAGTCTGTAAGTAATCTTTTCTTTTATTTTTCAATGGCTCTTTTCTTTCATTTATTTATTTTTTTTATTATGAGCAAAACGTGATTATGATATTCTTACACATGTTGATATTCTTTTCTTTCACAATTTTCATTTTTTTTATTTTTTTTATTATGAGCAAATGTTGATACCTTCATACCTTCATAGTCACAATTTTCATTCCAACATTTTTTTAATTCACTCCGTTTTGTTTTTAGTGAATATTTTTAAAATTTTAAACATTTTTTTTTACTTTTTTAAATGTACCTTACTTAGACATATCTAAAAAGTAAACAATGTGTGAAAAAATATTTTAAAAAATTAATAAATACATAAAAATACAAAAAATGTACTGAATTCTCTTTTCTTTTTTTTTTTTTCTTTTTTTGCATTTTTGGTATTTAGTGAGTTTTTAAAAGGTTTTTTTCACAAATTTTTTACTTTTTAGGTATATTTATGTTAGGTATGTCTAAAAATTCAAAAAATTGCTTAAAATATTAAAAAATTCAGTAAAAACAAAAAAATACGGAAAACAAGAAAGTAGAATTTTCTGAAAAGTGTTTTTTAAAAACTCTAACCAAGTTGTGTTTTTTAAATATCAATTAAAAAATTTTGTAATTAATTTGTGATTGAGTTTTACACTCCATTTTGATGATGTGGTGATTGTATTTTTAAACTAATTGGTTTTTTAACTCATTGTGTTTTTTAAATATCAATTAAAAAAATTTGTAATTAATTTGTGATTGGGTTTTACACTAGTTTTTTTTCATTAATTTTTTTATTATGTGCAAAAACATGATCATGGTATTTTACACTCCACTTTAATGACACGGTGATTGTATTTTTAAATTGATTGGGTTTTTGAACTCACTGTGTGTGTTTTTTTTAAATGATTGTACTTTTTAAATATCAGTTGACTTAATTTGTGATTGAAAATGATTGTATTTTTTAACTATCAATTGGTTTAATTTGTGATTGGGTATTTTACTCACTATGTTTTTTGGAGAAAAAAAAATTGTGTTTTTTAACTACCAATTGATTTCATTGCTTTTTTTTATTATTATTATGAGCAAAAATGTGATTGTGTTTTTCTACACTCTGTTTTGATCACATAGTGATTTTATTTTTTAACTAATTTTGTTTTTTTACACTCCATTTCGATCACATGATGAGGAAAAAAATTTGTTTGGGTTGTGACAAGCTCTGCGTTTTTTGGAAAAAAAAAATGGATTGTATTTATTAGGTTCACATAAAGTACCCACTATTGATGATGATTAGGTTGTATTTTGACTTGAAAAAAAAAATTGTAATTGATTTTTTTAACTCACTATATTTTTTGAAAAGAGAATATATATATATATATATATATTGTGTTTTTTAATTATCAATTAACTTAATTTGTGATTGGTAATATCAAATGCCAAGAAAATTCGAATACTTGATTTTGCATCTATGCCAAAGGTAAGAATTGTTATCATCCCAAGTAATAAAAAGTTAAACGATTTTAGAATATATTATATATATTATATATATATATTCGTTTATTTAGAGAAAGATTAATTTATGTATTTTTCAAATATTTTTTAGGTTTTCATATTTTCGAATACTTGGGTATGTCAAACAAATTGATTATGACAACCTTTGGATTGATTTGTGCAAAAGCTGCTATAAAAAAGTTGAATATCGTTATGGTCACATCGTTTGTCGTCACTGTATACATGATGATATTGATATTATAATGAGATAATTTCCTTTAGGTAAATAATTGCTATGTATAATAATAATTCAAACTTAACAAGTGTTTTAATTTTTTATTAGGTACAATATTTTCTTTTAACAAGTGTTTTTTTTTTTTTAGTTTGATTAGATACAATGTTAACATTGTGGTCATAGACAATACTGATTCAATAAATCTTATTGTTCAAGATAAATGGGCAGAGTTTATCTTGCGATATCAACTATTATATTTGAAGAATATGAGATCAAAGATAGGAAACTATAAAATTTATTATAAATACCTTATTTCTACCTTTTCAAACATAATGTTATAATTCCAAAATTTTATAGAGATAATGGAGTTAGAATGATTAAAGATTATATTGTGTCATGTCAAGACTGTGCCTATGCATTTATTATACATGTACCAAAAATACTACGTCAACTAGATTGTGTACTGTGCATGACCTTTGTTTTAAATATAGATTAGTCTGAAGAATATTTATACCTTTTAGAAGGTAAAATATATATATATGTGTAAGTATAACATTTTATAAATATATAATATATGTGTTGTTTATCAATTATAATACTATCATGTTGGCAATACAGGAATGCTGATAGAAGA